CGAGTTATAGATAATTTTAAGTTTTTTGTTTAAAAAGAAAGAGTAGCTTATTTTCGGAGTAAATTATTTTCAGGAATCTACGGTATCAACTTAATGTACTATCTGTATTATATGCTATTCACACATCTATACTCTGTAATTATCCTAGTACAGATTTCAACAGTGGTCTTAAATCGCTGCTTATATCAACTAGCCTGCTACATGGTATTATATTAATAATAACCAAAAAATTTCAAATTTTTTATATAGCTTCTAATCTTCTACTCTTAAATTATTTCAAGTTAAAATTCTTCTTAATGAGTTATCTACTCCTTATATATTATATAAATGCAATTATTATATCTAGGTAAGCTAGTTGGTTTAAGCCACAGATAAATTAGTCTAAGTTTCTTTTCTTGCTATTTTAGGATATAAAATTTAATTGGTGATTTACCACTCAACCAGAGAGAGCTTATAGTATAATGTGATGCAGTTTAGATATAGAAATTAAAGTTTTTGGAATGTGAGCTGCTTCTATCTAAAACTTTTTTTCGTACTAAGTTAATCACCTTTGGGTCTTTAATTGAAGTTGTAGAGCTTGATAAGACGAATCTAATGATAGTAAAACATCAAAAAGCTTTACAACTTCAATTAGAGGCCCAAAGGTAATTAACTTAGTACGAAAAAAGATTTTAGATAGAAGTAGCTCACATTCCAAAAACTCTAATTTATATATGTAAACTGCATCATGTTATACTATGAACTCTCTTTGGTTGAGTGGCGAATCACTAATTAAATAGATTCTTTTCTTTGTAAGGATTTTCTTTTCATTATAAAAAAATTAAATTAAATTTTAATAAAGTTAGAGATATAGTCTCACTATTAATATTCAAAAAAAAATACTTAGGGTGCATCCATAAATAACGTTATGTACCTCCACATAGTAGCTCTTGACCCCCCAGATTATATAAAAAAAAATTAAAAATCTATATGTTTATATATAAATTTTTACAAACTTTGATTATCTTGTGACCCAGTAATCCAAATTAGATAAATTTGGTACTATTAGATTCGTCTCAATGAGAAGAATCCAATAGTACCAAAATTATTCAATTTGGATTACTGGATCAAAAGATATAGACAAAAAACTGTTAATTCTATAGTAATTTTATATAAAATAATATAGCCAATAGTTTTTTTGCCAATATCTTTTGATCCAGTAATCCAAATTGAATAATTTTAGTACCACTGGATTCCTCTCACTGAGACGAATCCAATGGTACCAAATTCATCCAATTTGGACCACTGGGTTACGAGATATTAATATTTAAATAAAAAAATTATGTTATTTTTCTTCGACCCTCTAATTTAGCAAAAAATATAAAAAAAATGTTATTTTTGTGAAACCCCTCCCCTCCTCTTGTATAATGTTATTTATGGATGCCTCCTTATTAACTATAATTATTTAAAAATATTTAATATTTATTGTTGTTTTTTATATTATACAAAAATTCTAATATTAAATACTAATAATATGTTTTAGTAAAACTAAATTTATTTATACAAAAAATTTTTTATAATTTTTTTACAATATTTAATATAAAATTATATATTTTTTGTTGAGAATTACTATTTATACCCAGTAGGTATAATACTCGGTATAAGAAAAAAAAGTAAAAATCCTTAATATCTCAAAATTTTACTAAGATAATCATATGTAGAGTTTGAAACCGGTTTTATTTTTTATATATTAAAATCAGTTAAAACCAGGTTTAACATATAAAAAATAAAACTGGTTCCAAACTCTAATCATATATAGGTATCTTAAGTAAAATTGTTTAGCACCTAATTTTGCATATAATCATACATATTTCTAAATCTAACCCTAACTTTAATTATATAGTACTCTATATAAATATTATATCAGGTATTATACCCTATAGGTAAAGATAGTAAATTTCTTTTTTGTTTATATGGGTTGTTGCCCAGCAAAACCATGCTTAGAGTATATATTTTTTATATACTCTAAGCATGGTTTTGCTGGGCAACAACCTATATGATATATGGGGTGTTATTTATTAAAACAGCACTTTTTTCCAATTTTTTGAAAAATGGGTTTTTATTAGATTCATATAAATTTTGACATAGTTGATATTTTTCAATGGATTTTACTAAAACGCATCTATGGTATTTTATACCTATATATACATTATCTCAAAAACTGGCTAATTAATCAATGTGAGATGTTCTAAGTAAAAATGTTCCACGCTTCAAAAAACCTTTCCTAAACCTTAATCTTAACTGTAATATTAACTTGAACAGAAAAAATTAGGTTTAAAAATTTTATATACAAAACTTAAAAAATTTAAAAAATTTTAAAAAACATAATAAAAATATATAATAGGTGCAAAACCACTATAGGTGTGTTTTATAATAATTGTTTTTTAATTATAAACAAAAATTAATTTGCATAATAAAAAATTAAGATATTATAAAAGAAAAATTAACACCAGGTTGTATAAGGCTAACATATTACAAAATTTTCCAATAGTCACCTGTTACCTTTAACCAATCAAAATTGTAAAATTTGATTAATCTTAGATCAGTCCAAAAATCAAAACAAATAATTAAACTCAATTATCTCAAAATAAAATATATATAAAAAAGAGCTATTTTAATAGATAACACCCCATATTATCACTTATAAAATTATATAAAATATAAAATCAAAATAATAAATAATAATATATTAATTTAAAATTAGATTAGTATTAAACTAGAATTAAAGATAGCTTTAGGAAAAGTTTAATTTAAAATTTTGCAAAAAATTTTTTTAATTAAAGTATATAAGGTAGTTTTATAAGCAAAATCTTAAGTTATAATAATACTCTTTAATTTAGTATATTTATTTTTTAAATTTAAAATATTTTTAAAAAAGAATTTTATAAATTAGCACATCTGCATTGTGACCTACCCTATAAGATCTAGTGTAATGTGAAATCAAAACAAACCAGTAATGCATTAATTTAGAGTAAGGGTTAGTACTAATATAAGATTAGATTAGATTATAGATAAATGTTAGTTATACCTAAAATTTTACAAGAAATTTTTTTTGTTAGAATGCAAAAGGTGGTTTCATAAGCCAACTTATGAGTTACAAGTGATTTTTTTCAAAATATTGCTATTTTTTTTAATTTCATATTACATCTGATCTTACAATCTGATTGGTTAATTAAGCAGATACGTTACAATGCAGGTGTGCTAAATTATATAATCTTTTAAAAAATTATATAATAAAATTTAAAAAATTACTACGATTTACAGGCTGTGAAATTTATACTCCTGTTTCAAAAAGTTTTTTATTTAAGTTAGAGCCAGATTAAGATTATAATAAACAACAAACTTTATAGCAAAATTTAACAAGAAATTTTTTACTTATAATACCAAAAGTGATTTTATAAGCTAGATTTTGTGTTATAAGTATTTTTTGAATTTTTTTGTAAAAACAAACTTAGTTTTGTTATACAAAAAATTGCAAATCACACTAATTCTCTAATTCTGCAATTTTAATTGGCCAGATGCAAGGCTGTGAATTTTACAGCCTGTTAAGATTTGCAATACTCTAAAATTTATCTATAAATAAATAAAAATATATGCTATATATATTATAAAACTAAAATAGAATATTCTATAGAATAGGTGTACAAACTCTGCAAACTCTGCAACTCCGATATTAAAAATTAATGATTACTAATTATTAGCAAAGCTTATTTCTTATATTGCCTACCTATTCTATAGAATATTTCTAAAATATATTTTATATTTATAATAAGACAAAATTAATAATATTTATATACTTTGTTTTCTTTTAATTAACCAATAAAATTACAAAATTAAATATAATATATAAATAATTTTATAAAACAAAAATAATTATATAGTCAACTTCCACTAAGTATATTTTATTAGAACTAGACTTTTAGCAATATGCATTAAAAGAACAATTAAAAAAAATACATTTATAGAGATCAAATATATATATAGACCCAGAATTTAAATTTGCATTTAGAGAGAATATGTACTTAAAAATATGTATTTAGAGAGAGTTAACTGTATATATTATTTTTGTATAATAAAAATTTTTTAAAAAATTAATTATATCTCAAAATTTTGATTATAAAACTACTTTTGAAACTCTGACAAAAAAATTTTCTCTTTTAAAGATTAAAAAAATTTTTTTTTGCAAAATTTAACTATATACTATGTCTAATCCTAACCTCTAAAATACTATCTTTATTTAATATTAAAAACTTTTAATTTTTATTTTGATAAATTATTTGTTATACAAAATTAATAATTATTTAGAAACACAAAATACATAAAGTATTGTTTAGATTGTCTCTTATAATAATTAATATATATTTAATAAAATATAATTTAATAATAAATAATTTATACAATATTATATATTTCAATTTATAAAAACCTAAACCAGATCTTTTTAACTATAATAATATATTTTTATAAATATATTTAATATGCAAATACGTATATAGCAATATATTTTTTAAACTAATATACATAATAACTATATATATATAAATTTAAAATCAAAAATATATCAAAAAAATAATCTTCATGTTTAATAATAAAATCTAATACTATTTATTTGAAAATTAAAATATAGCTTATAATATTATTACCTTTTATATATTTAAATCAGCATTATATCAATACTAAAATGTAAATAATTGATTAATTTTATTTCAAGTACTGAAATATAACCAAAATTTATCTGCTAACGCAGGTATAAATAAATCTTACTAATAAATGACCAATTCAGGAGATAAGTAGATTAATTGCGTTTTTTTTTTTTTTTTGTTCACTAGATTCTACCTTTAAAAATACGAAAGAAAAACAGGTCTATAAGCTTACTAATTGTTAAGGATTATATAGCCAGGAAGTATTGAAAAAAAATTAGTCTATAATCCTTGTACAAACATTACCGTAATTATAGCTCACTAAGTTTCTAAAGATTTTAACATATCAACAATATCCAAAAATGAATCAACTATAGTTTTTCCTTGAGTATGAGGTGCCATATTGTCAGATTGAACTTGATCTAATGCTGATGAACTCATTAGCATTTGTCCACTTGTGTGACCACTTGCTGACGCCTCTTCACCAACTAGTTCATTAAAATGGACGAACTGTTGAAGAAGGTTTATAAGAGAATTGACCGATCGATCCGGCAATCGCTGTATATAAATAAAAAATTAAGGAAATTACATCATAATTATTACATTGAAAGTAACAAAGGTAAAATAAAATAAGAAAAGGATATCAATTATCAACAATCGATTGGCATGATTATTCTTTATCAATAAACCAAGTAAAACGGCTAGATATGCTGCGATAATATTGCTATCAGTCTAAAAAGATTAAAATTAATATGTCTTGTCGAATTCTCGAAAAATAACGAATTGCAATATCCATTATACCTCATCGTCTTCTTTCTCAAGTTGGTAATTATACAAAGATACGAAACATGATACGGCAGATTCACGTGAAGAACATGTACAAGTTCGAAGACAAGTATGAGAACCTGTACAATATGGATTTTGTTCTTGAAGTCATCATAATTAAAATAACGTAAATACATTATATTGGTACATTTTTATGCTTAAATTATATTTAACGTAACAGTAATATCTCACCAACTTTTCGAAACTCATCTTGGTTTCCAGGATCCATTTCAACCAAATTAATAAGCAAACCAATACTAAGCAATAACACATCGAATTTGACTGCTTCAACAGCCGTTGAATTCGTCGGACAATCTAAATCCATCTTATCTGAGCCAGTATTAATCGTCGCAGACTCATTATGGGGAAGCTGTCCAACAGTGGCAAGTCTAACAAGAATTGACATCCCAGGAATATACCCAATGCATTGACAGCACGACTGATTATCATTAGAGAGGTTAATAAGTACACGCAGACTGCCAAGAAGACATTCCATCGCTATAATGATTAAATGCAACAATTTTATACAAAACCCAAGGTATCGAACACTAATCATGCAATTTGATTGTTTCACAAACCTATTGAAGCACGTTGTATATTTTTACTACAAGCCACTATTTGACAGTATAAAAGGAACTCCAATAACATCCGTAAAAGTTCTTTGTCCTTTTCGACAATGTCAAATTGGTTTTCAGCACAGAAGAGGGTTGCATTTTCTATTATTTTAAGACATTGTCCGATACATTCGAAATCCAACACACCTTCTGATAAGTTCAATGCCTACATATATATTTATATTGATTGATTAACGTTAACTATTATATCAAATGAAAATCTGGCAGCACCTTAATAAAACGATGTTTAAAATTCTTACCTTACCATTCTCAATTCCTGACAGTAAACCAGTTACAAATTCAAGTTCAGTTTTTAGAATATTTATTACAGAACTCAACCCTCCTGATACTCGTAATCTAGTTTTTATCATGTTTTCATAGCGTGTTCTTAAAGAAGTTAAAGAAGATAATGTTCGAAGGGCTATTGACTTAAGCGAAATCTATTCATATAACAACTATGACTTAGTCCACTAGAATA